GTAAATCAGTTATAACATATAACATCCACATTCTTTTAAATGTATTAAAGACTATTTCACCCACATCAATTGAATTGAAAAGGGCATACTCGGTAGCAGGACTTTTCTTTAGTAAAATAAGAATCAAATTGTGTGATTGAAGTATTGACCATTTTTGCTTTTTAAAATCTTGTTATAAAAATTTACAATAATATTTTGTATTATGTTTTATTTAAATAACGAAAATTACTTTCTAACTTAGAAGTTTGATCTAAGTTCATTTTTCCTTTAAATTTTTAACTCAATTCAAAGGCATTTTTGTTGTATACAGTTTCCAACAAACTTTAATAAACTTTTTCTGTTTGTGAAAATTTCTACATTACTCAAAAGTAATTTTTTATACATATTTTACACAGCATTATTATTATTATTATTTTGGAAATTGCAGGACATACTAAGTTACTTAAAAATGAAAAGTAATTATATCATATGATTTTAAGATTTATTCTATATCTTAAAAATAATTAATTATTTTTCGGGATCCTTGGAAACAGTTCACTTTTATCCCAGAATCCCAGAACAAGCAAAAGACCGGGAAATGAGAAACCCTACTCCATGACACAATCCCCGTCAAACATTTTTGTTTTCCTCATTTCTACTTGTCAAAGGACAGCCAGGTTGAACTAATCCATTTTTGGTATCAGGAAAACCATTTGTAAACTTGTGATTTCTATATCCTGTTTGAAAACCATAAAGCATAATATGCCTGATAAGCTTTTTATATGAAGACATTACAACTTGGTTTTATTCTAACAAATGTGAAGTAAAGAGTTCAAAGTACACTTCTAAACAAAGAATAAAATCTCGCATTAGTATGAACCGTCGGGGAGGTCGGGAACCGCCGACTCTCCCTTTTCGGCAACAGGTCGTTAAACCTGCTCACTTGTCAAGATGGCTAATTTCGTATGCGGTCCCGAAGGGTCGGGATACTTTTTGTCAGGTCGAGGAGGCGTAGGCGATAAACGAGTAAAAGGACACCATTTAACAATGAGAACAACAATTTATTAGATAAACGGAAAGAAAAAAAAATTTAAAGAATACAAAAATCTAACATCTAGTGAATTTAGTTCACTAGCTCCTAACTCGCAGAGAGAGAGTTTACATTAATTGTTTCATACCTCTAGTTAACTTCCACGTAGGCACAGAGTTTGACGCACAAAGTTAAAGTTTCCCGGAGACTTAATCCTTTTAGACCGTAGATGTGAGACTCCCCCGAGGAGGGGGAAAGAAGTCACTTTTATAGCTTCGGACTGGGAAATTCAGTCAGGTGATCACCTATTGTGTGAGATAGAGTTGGTCCTGCAGGTAGGAAGGTCAAAGTTGTTCCCGGGACCAAAACAAAATGACGAATTCGGACTTTAACTATAAACTTTTTGTCTTGCAGCAGAGGAATGTCATTGTTCTAGGGTTGAATGTTTATATTAACGATGAAAGTTATAAGTTTTGATCGATATATGATTCTTTTTTTCTGACAATGTTATTTTAACGTGGAGGCAACAAATTTATTTTAAAATACGTCGAAAATTTAGGGGGAAAATGAACAATTTTTGGCTTATTCGGAGGTCGGATCTCACATTTGCTATAGTCTGTTAAATCATACATTTTCAATGGTGTATGATTAATAAATGTAGCTTTCATTTTACTATACAGTATTTATGTATTTTATTTATGATTTTTGTGTTTGAATTTATTATTAATGCATTTAATTGTGTTGTTTTTACCTTAAATTATCTGTATTTGCTGTTTTAAGGTTATCAGAATTATTGTTGTTTAGGGTCTTCAAATGGATTAATTCACTTTCCATTATTTCTAATGGGAAAAATTGATGCAGACTTTGAAAAATTTGTAGTTGAAACAACCATCTGGAATGAATTAAATTTGAAGTATGAGGCATCATTATGTATTGTTTTTTTTTTTTTTTTTTATATATTTGGCTGCAATTTTTTCAAATTGCAGACCTATAAATTCTCGCTGTCATTCATCTATTTTTCTGTCTGTTCTTCCTTAGTCTTGAGAATGGCATTAGATAGATGAAAGTCGTGACCATGTATGGAAAGCTTAGAGCAGGAGGTCTCGATTAACTATGTACAAACTTCTGGTTTGGATTGGAAGTCACATTACTTTGATTCAAAAATTTCCCTCTGAAAGGAGTTATATAGATGACTGGCATGACATTATTGCTAGCAGGAAAGTATGATATACAGAGGCAAGATACTACTAATTTGAGGTGGAGATCATATAATTTGAATTAAATAGATTAAAAATTGCAGCCTCACATTGTACCAATGTCACGATAAATAATTGATTGTTTTGCTATAAACTATAAGTTATATATTTTTTATATATTATTACAAAAAATTTAATTAGTTATATTTATATTTTATTATTTACGGTTTCAACTAATTATTGGAATGTTTTAAATTTAAAATGGTGAATGCAGACAGGAAAAATTAATTACATTGATATTAAATGATGATTTTGTGTGTTGTTAGTGTCTATATAAATTTTTGTTATTTGAAAATAGGTAAATGTATAGTGAGTGCAAGTTATATGTAACCATGGTTTTCAGAAAACAATTTGTTTATGATTATTATTGTTAGATCATATTTGCAACCTTCAACATTTATTGTCAACTTCATATAATCAGTTTTATTGGGCTGCATTTTTCAAGTTGCAGGCATATATACATTCCTACTGTCATTTGTATGTCTGTCTTTCTTTAATCTCAAGAATAGAATTAGATAGATGAAAATTGATACCCAATATGGAAAGCTTAGGAGTTGGAGATCCCAATTAACTACAAACAAACTTCTAGTCTGGACTGGAAGTCACATGATTTTTTTAATTAAAAGATGATTAAAAATTGAAATAAATGCTCATTAATTATAAAAAAATCAACAAAATACAGTGTAAAGGATTGTTTTACATTGTAAAATGTACTTTTATTACTGGATGTTCAGAAAAATGTAAATACATTGTTATTTGTTCATGTAGATGAGTTGCACTTTAAATTAATTGGTAATAAGTTGAATATTAAGATATTTCACATTCAAAATTGAACATATATAGGTAAGCATTGCATAACATGATGTAACTTCTATCACACAGTCTCTATCTAATATAGTTAAAGATATGTGGCAAATCTCTCATAATACAATATTTCTGAGCTTTTGTTTGGGAAAACACTGCTATTATATTAGATATATTGTTTTGACATTTTCATTCTTTTTAGTGAATCCTCATTGTTTACTCCCTAGCTGTTTAAAAATAACCAAAAAATTAGGAAAACCTTGCACTTTAATTTTTTAGAGATCTTTATATTATATTATCTGCTGCTGAATTTAGACCATTTGAGTCCATTAAGTATTTGATAGTAAAGCATACAGTTTGTGACTTTTAAGATTTAAGATTATTTTGGTTTTTATTTCATTGGTTATTGATTTTTCCATTCATCATTAAACTTTGTTCTTAAGGATTAACTGGAATAATTTCTTTGTGATTGAGTAGATTTCAGTTCTGGGACCTATTCTGAGCTCTTCCAATAACTTAACAAAAGTGATAAACAGGATATTCAATAAGTCAGTTTCCTTAGAAAAAGGCAGTTAATGAACCTTAGACAAATTGCTCTGTGCTAAGTGGGTTTTCACTACAGTCGCATACTAAGTGATTGAGATGCATTTGGGTTCCATGCTATCGATAACTGTTACGCTTTAAACTATCACAATTTAGTTAATATTGTCTTTTTGTCACATGACTACAACCCATCATTTTCCAAGCAAAGCATATGTTTTTACTATTTTCATATACTAGTGCTAGCCAAATTTTTTTTGAGTTAAAATGTCATCAAAGAAGGACAATGCAGCCAGCAAACTGCAACTTGTCAGTTTGAGATATTTGTTAAAACACTTTGGCTGTTGACAGGATCGGATTTAGACATTTCAAGACCCTAAGTTGAACTCTGTGTTAGGCCCCTTACTAACCCTTTAAAATTTTAGAAGTCAATCATATAAAAAAAGAGAATTAACATAAACACATTAATTTTAATAATATTTTATTAAAAAGTATTTGCAATATATTATAAAATAATATACAATTTAAAAATGGAAACACTGAAAACTTTATTTTTGTCATTTCTGATTGTAAGAAAAATAACTATCTATAAAAACCAAATGAATTTTATATTAAAAAGAAGAAATCACTAGAAATATAATATAAACAATATTGGTTATTAATATAATTAAATATTACACAAAATGAAAAGTAATGTATATTTTGTTGGTTTGTAAAAAAAAATTATTACAAAATTTGACTTCAATTTTATTTTTTGTAGAAATTTTTGAGCTCCCTTGAAACTCGGGGCCCTAAGCTACAGCTTACATGGCTTGTAAATCTGGCCCTGGCTCTAGCTCATAATTCATTGCGTAAATTTAATAGTAATGGATTTGGAAGACATACCATTACTATTATCGCATGTATCGTTCAGTCAAAGAGCATTATCTTGAAGACAAGAAACCAACATTTGCGACATCAATTTGCTGATTCTCTCTCTTCAATTGCTCATGAAGTAATATCATCCTTACACCTAAGTTCACTGTGTCCTAATGGCAGCTTGAGAATGGTTGATAAGAAAAGATTAGTTATTGCACTTGGCTATTGGAACCAAAAACGAAATATATGACTCATAGTAGCATTTTTACTGTTTACTAAATGCCAGTCACGTGATTACAATAGAAACTGGTTTTTATCATAATAATTAGTTTAATGATACAAATCAGAATATGTCTCCTAATGAGTTAAAAATGGACCAGGAAAAATTGTTGTTTACTAAGAAATAGCTGTGAATTTTTTTTCGTTTTCAGTGGATACCCTTTATCATTAAAATATTTATTCAAAAAGTTTTTCAGAAATTTTAATATTATCTGTTAGATATTTTTATCTGAAAAATTTAATTTTAATAATCTATTAATAGAAGTGGTCGTGGTCGTTTGTTTGGAGGACCTTCTTCAGAAGGATTGCTGGGTTCACCTCGTGGAAGAGGAAGAATGATGTTACCTTCAGGACCAAGAAATAGAATGGGAAATTTAGATACTGATTGTCCAGAAGACATGGATTTAATGTCATCTATGTCTGTTGATAATAGTGGAGGTCAAAATTTAAATGGTCATAGTTTTCGTGGAGGACATACTGGAGGAGGAGGACTTAGAGGATTTGGTCAGTCACAAGGAATGGGTGGAATGCCTCTCAGAAATAGAGGTGCTGGAAAACCTGGCAATAGAAATATGTTTTCTGGTTCAGATAATTCTGAAGGTTTACTTGGAGGAGGTCCAGGAATGTCATCTGAATTTGAACAAGATTTTACACAAGATGAGGTAACTAAATTTTTATTTATTTATTTCAGAGATTAAAGAATTAAAAATGTTCCTAAAAATAAGAAGTTATATATATATAATGATTTTTATTCTCTTTAATACAAACAATACTTATTTTTAATGTGAATAAAAAGAATAAGTCTAAAGAGAGAAAAATTACTGTAATTTTCTTTCTAAACTTTTAATTTCAGATTACAAGTATCAAATTTAAGTTTTTTTATATGGCTTTTTGATATTCATACTTTGTTCAATAAATTAAATTATAATTATCATATTGTCAAAATTGTCTGTGTGTATACTTATACTCGTACATAGAATGGTTTAAAACTACTAACCAAGTCTAATGTTTTTGCATATCTCATCATCATTCAGTTTTAATAATCTTTCTCATTTCTTATCTCTCTCTCACACATGACACAGAGAGAGAGAGAGACATTATACTTTGAAGTACAGTAGAACCTCCATTATCCGGATTTTCGATTATCCGGATTGTTCAAAATAAACAAAAATTTTACGAATTTGCTGATTTGCACTTGGCGAATTATGATACTGTTTATGTATGTGATGGAATGCATAACTTTTTTTTTTTCAACAACGACTTACCCAGCACAGTGGTCGTAAACTCTTAAATATATTTTACGTAGTAATAAAAATATAACTTGACATACGTATTTATAAATAATTTATATTCAAATTACATCATTCCGAAGGGCCTCGCGCCTCAAAGGTTTATGCATTACTTAAAAGCCGCAAATGAGACGAAAAAATTTTACTCTTCATAAAACGATAAATAGTTTGTCAAATTTTTATTCATAAAAATGCAGTTTCAACTGCTTTTTAATTGATAAAATCCATCTTATTGTGCCACCAAAAGCCTTTTAAACAATAGGTAGTCTGTTAGCGTTGTTCAGTAATAGTCCAAATTCAATACGAACGTTTGTTTCTTGAAAATTTGATCACGATTTTAATACAGTATTTACTTTTAATATTACCAATATGTCATCGAAAAGAAAACGTGTTGTATTATCATTAAAAGACAAATTAAAGTATTTGTTTCGATTATCTGGATTTTTCCTTATCCGGACTACCTTCATCCCCAATTAGTCCGGATAATCGAGGTTCTACTGTACATTTCTTAGAATGGCAGATTTCACACTTAATAGGTATTTATGCTCCTCCAAACTTTTTTGAGTTTGGTACATTCTATACTCTATCCTCAAAATATGTCCAAAAGTATTCAGATCTAGAGAGTATGCATACTAATCAATTTTTTCCAGGAATATTTTCTAAGATTATTGAAGTTGAGGGCAAACATATTGAACATACTGTAATAAAAATTACATTAATATTTTTTAAATATTTGAATAAGATTTGTGTATCTGATTATCCAGTTGTAATATTACATTAGACTTTGTGATAAGTATTTGGACCGTTGTGTGGTATGTGTGTACATACATGCAAAAATTACAATAATTTATCTTCAATTTAAAAATAACATATTTATAGATATTTTTATTGTTTATATAGGCTGTTTGTGACTTATTTGGTTCAAAACAGGGAAATTTTGGAGGAAATAAAAATTCAACTCAAGTGACTGTTCCAAATGAGGTTTGTAACATTTAATATATAAGCTTTAACAAAATAGAATATAAATTATATTAATTTGCTTTGGTTTTATAATTTTTTTTTAATGTGTGTTTAACACAATTAATCATATTATATACATACGTTATTGGGTATGACAAATCTAACTTAATGTACAGAGGACACAGTATAGTTTTTAATTTAATCATATTAGTATTTATGTTAACAAAATGTTAAGGCTAACATACTTTCTAAAAAGTTACAGCTAAATATATTTTCATGTGACTAATAAACTACAAACTTATATTTTTAGCATAGTCAGACTTTCAGAGTTAAATACTGAATATAATATAATCATTTGTTTGTAAAATACTGAATTTCAAAAAGTTGAAATATGTGATAAATATATGGTTCATTTATGCTGACATTTTTTGCTTATAAAATCAAATAATTTTATGAACAAAGTACATACATAAATTTTTTCCTTATGAAAAGATAATACAACTTTTCAAATTACTTTGCTAAGTTAGCATCTAATATACTATATGACTGTATGTCATCAAAGGTTTGATGTTTTTTAAATTCATTTTTGAATTTCAAGTAGAGGGGAAGAGATTATTTTTAAAATAATTTACATAATAATAGATTAGATACATGAAAAAATGAAAATTTATTATTTTTAACATTTAACTATCAATACAATGTTAGTATGTCTATATTTATATATATATCAGATGGCAGCAACTCATGGTTTTGGAGCTGCCAGTTCTTTGAGAATGATCAGCAGCTGTACAGAAGGCTTCAACTGATAACTCAGCAACCAGTAAATCATTACGTCTTACTCAAATTTTTATAATGAGATGGCTATTCTTTATAGGCCACAGATTAAAACAATATAGCACAATATTTTTTATTTATTTTGGTATCACTATCAATTTTTCAAAGCTTGTTTTTAAAATGATTGTATTAACAAATATCTTGTTTATCATACATATTCATCATTGATATGAAGGCAGTATAGCTAGTTTAAAAGTATAATGTAATGAAAGGAATGTGGTATGCAGAAGAGAATTGAAGCATGAGTGTGGGCTTGGCAACATAGTCAACTTTAATAAAATAATTTTAAACAGTGCTGTAAAACTCTGTTTAAAATAGTAACAGTTTATATTAGAATGATGACAAAAATAAATTGAAAAAATAGTAATAAAAAATGAAGAAACTACACAGTAGACAAACTATTAAAATCATTTTGGACTGTCCTAACATTAATAGCATTTTGATTATGCACAGTGTTAATTTCTGCTGCTATGCTTGTAGCATTTTTTTCATTTAAGAACAAAGAATATAAAATATCTCTTGTGTTCATTTGAAATTGCCATTATAACAGCAGTTAAATAACAACAATTTTAAAAAAACACAATACAACCAAACTTGCCAACTGCATTTCAGATTGGTTTGAATTAGATTGGAATTTATTTATGCTGGAACAATGTGTGCACAAATTTATGGACATGACTGATATGGCATGAATCAAATTCAATATTTAATTGTTATAAATTAGTGTAAGTATTAACAGTTAGTTTTACAATTATTTGTATATTTAACTAAGAGATTTTTTGTTATATGGTGTAAAAAAAAAAGATGAAAAATTACAAACCAACTGTATGTTTGTTGTTTATATATGAGAGATGATAACTAAATAACCAGCCAATGAATGCAGCACTTCTAAGATAATTTGCCTAGCAATACATGTTGACAGGAATTGAGAGGTATAGATAAAGTAAACAGCAGCATGGCCAATCAGTAGTAATTGTTCTCCTTCAGTAGAATGAAAGCATATGAAGTAAATCAATGTATCTTAATATAGTTCCTAATCATAGAAGGTACTGGATTTATGGAAATTCATTAACACATGATATATGTGTATGGATCATTAACACATGACAATTGTGTATGGATAATACACAATTGTCATGTGTAATCCTAACCCAAGTAAAGGCCATTTTCACTTACCCTTTCAGCATTTTCTTCAGTTCACTTTGGTGAACTGAAGAAAATGCTGAAAGACACTTTCAATTTGACCAAGAGATACGGGATGCCAACCACGCTTTGCTGATCTGTTCTGCAACATTTTTTAATACAAAGTCAAAGGCTTGTGGGACAGTGTAATAAATGCCTAAACATCCAGGTTAATTACATTTAACATAAAATGCACTTATTAAGCTATTAACTGGTTATTTATTGATCATGCCTTATATTAACCTTTTCCAGGCTGTTTTTCATAGGTCAAGGTCATCAAATTACTGTTCCATCTCATTAAAAAAAATGTTTTTTTTTTAAATAATAGCTAAATTTTGGACAAATTGGAGAGAAGATACACCCAAAATAGAAAGATCTTATTTTAGTGGTGCTCAAAGAGAAGTAATCGTTTCTGAAAATATTATAAGACCAAATGGTTTAACACTTGATCTTTCTTCAGAAACATTATTTTGGGCTGATGCTAAAAAGGATGGTTATGTTATTTGGAATTGTGATATTGATGGTTCAAGAAGAAGGGTAAGCTAAACTATGAAACTATAGTTAAATAATGTTTGTGTTTGAAAATTAGATAGAATGTTATTTTTTTAATTTTCAGCTTAAAATTACAGCTAAAATTTTGTATAGATTGGCAGAATACAAATACATTTATTTTATTCTTGTAGATTATATCTGAAGGAACAGGCCATCATCCATTTGATATTGTTGTTCATGGTAGTTTTCTTTATTGGACTGATTGGGAAACTGGTGCTTTGCTACAAACAGAAAAATCAACTGGAAAAGGTCCTGCTATTATAAGAAGTAATTTACAACAGCCAATGGGTCTTTTTGCTGAGTCGTCAACAATTATGAAATGTAATCCAAAAGAATTTGACAAATTTTTCTTTAAGATTTTGAATAATTTCATTATTAAAATTCCTGAGTTACAGATCAGTCATAAAAATTTATTGTGAATAATTTAAATTACAAAAAGCAGGGTGTTAGGCTTTGAGGTTTAATAAAAGAAAAGAGTATAAATTGAAAACTTAACAACTTTTTATTAAATTAAATTATGTCTTCTAGTATGAAAACTTCTGGCAGAATTTTTTTTACATTCAAACACACTTCAAAAGTGCACCAACAGTGATGTAGCAGATGTCCAACTTGTATTCCACTTCAACTAAATATTTATTTATTTGAAAACTTCATACATAAAATTAATTTTTAGGAGGAGGGATAACATTAATTATTTCGGTCAATAAATTATATTTACACCAAATAGACTCAACTGAGTTGATGGAGAATGGTCCATGAATTCTATCTGCTGGATCTTTACAAATAACATTATTAGTATAAAGTACATTATTAGAAAGTGTCCACTTCAACTAAATATTCAATAGCACATGAGATGTAACTTTATCAATAGTCTGACAGATTCTGTGTCAAATCATTCAAGTTATGCATAGATGTATGATACACTTGATTATTCACAAAATCCTAAAAGAAAAATTCCAAGTGAGGGTAAGAACCAATCTACCATCTGAGGAACTCCATTCATCAATTGTTTTATCTACAGTAAATTGCAAAGTAGGGAGGCAACATGTATTATTGAAAAATGGTTCCAGGAGGATGTTAGGGCTAGCATAAGTTGCAGCATGTTAAAATAACTTGTTCCAGTCACTGTGGCCCTTAATTAACATGCACCTATTTTGCCATTCTGTGCATTTGCTAGTCACTGCAGAGACAAGATAGTATTTCTCACAAATGTCAACATAAAATACACACTGAATTCTAGTCTGATACAAATACAATGCAAGTTATGAATTTTTTTTATTAAACCTCTAAGACAGACAAACTGAATTCAAGTTTTTGATAAATCTTTATGGCTGGATCTGATGATATAACAACTTTTAATTTGGTATAAATATTTTAAATTNATTATTCAAAAAAGTAAATTTTAACAAGAAATGGATTTTTTTAATATTTATATGTTTTTAAAATTTATTCTTAAGAAAATTACAAAAAATTATGCTCAAATAGCTCTTTTATTTATTCAATGTATTTAATTATCTATTTACCCTACAATACAAGCAAAAATGACATTTTAAGAACTTTGTGTTATTCCCTATCATTAATGCTCATTTCTCTTCACTTTCTATAAAAACTGGGTGATTTGATATCCCCTGGTGACTGTGTGTGTAATAGTTTTTTGAACTACAAAAACAGTTAATTTTTCATAAGTTTTGAAATTTTAATAAATTTTACAAATAAAATTTAAAAACTAGAAGGTGACATTTTTCTGGTTTTTCACTTACTAATATGCTTTCTACAGGAAAATTCTGAAATTATTTATGTTTATAAATATAACTGTATTAAAAATAAATTTGGCATTGATTAAAGATACTTCTTTGATAAAGTTCAAGCACAATTACAAAATAAATCAGATTATGATGATCAAAAATCTACTTAACTTGTTCATTTTTTCTCATTTTAAATTACTCTTACTGCTAGATTTTTTATGCCATAATGTTAAAGACATTCTGTTATTAAAGACTAACAGAAACTGACTGATTCATTACATATGAAATACGAAAATTTATTATTACATTCAAAAATTGTGTTAAGCTTTTTAAAAATAATTATCAGAATCTTTTCTGTTTGGTCTTTGATTTTATTTAAGAATAAATGTATTAAAATAGTTATAGGCACAAGTTTAAAGATGAGCATACAGCTAATGCATTTCTACTGAACTATAAATTGCAAATGAAGAAGTCAGCTAATTGCAATGTCTGAATAAAACTCTGAAATTGGCTGACCCTATGACTGAGATAATGGTACAGATTTACCAAGTTATTTTTGGTAAATTTTAAAAGATTGTTGCTGCCTCTTCTTAGTACCTGTGTATGTGTGTATGTGCAGTGAAATGTACAATGAACACCAATTTTACAAAATTTTCAGTATAACAAAATTATCTTGCATCCCCTGCCAATTTCCTATTCTGTTTAATC